CCAGCTCTGAAGGCAGCACCACCGCCAGCGGCAGTGCCAAAGTAAGGGAAGCAATACTGCAACCTCCCTTCCAATAACCTTGCGACCCCCCCCCACATGTTCTTTTTGCGTTAGGATCCCTACAATTACAACACCGTGAAATTTCAGATTTAAATAACTGAAATCATGAAATTTAAAATTTTTTTAAATCTTATGACCGTGAAATTGACCAAAATGGACTGTGAATTTGGTAGGGCCTGGAACAATGCTGCCTCTGGCGGGACACAACTGAGAGTATCAATTCAGGACAAATTGCTTAGAGCAGGGCAGTTACAGCCCAAGGCACACCAAACCAGCCAAACACAGAGGACCCCAGTTTTATCCCACTGGCTAACCATCAGTCATACTAGCAATTCCCTCAGACATTCCAGTTTCCCAGTATCATCACCAGCAGCCACTTCTTATGGGAACAAATGGTTATGAAAACCAATACCCCAATATAAGAAAAAAGGTTCTCCCTATCCCAAAGGACCAAGCCCCAGATCCAGGTCTATATACAAGTTAGATCTTACCCACAAATTATGCTGCTGCCAATCCTTTAGAATCTAAAACCTAAAGGTTTATTCATAAAAAGAAAGAAATATAGGTGAGAGTTAAAACTGGTTAAATGGAATCAATTATATACAGCAATGGCAAAGTTCTTGATTCAGGGTTGTAGCAATGATGGAATAAACTGCAGGTTCAAATCAAGTCTCTGGAGTACATCCACAGCTTGGATGGGTCATTCAGTCCTTTGTTCAGAGCTTCAGTGTAGCAAAGTCCCTCCAGAGGTAAGAAGCAGTACTGAAGACAAAATGGAGGGGTTTCCAGGGCCTTTTATATTCGTTCTCTTTTGGGTGGAAACCCCATTGTTCTCCTGTGCAAAATCACAGCAACAAGATGGAGGTTGTAGCCACCTGGGCAAGTCACATGTCCATGCATGACTCAGTTTGCAGGCGGCAGCCATTGCTCACATGCTACCTTGAATGTCCCAGGAAGACTTCTCATATGTGGATTGAAGTCTCCCAAGGTCCATTGTCAGTTAAGTGGTTCTTGATTGGGCACTTAATCTGCAAATTCCTTTCTCAAGAAGCTGACCAAATGCTTCACTAATGCTACTTAGAATCAAACACATTGAGATACAAGTACATAGCCAATATTTATAACTTCAATTACAAAAATGGTACACACATACAGATAGCATAATCATAACCAGCAAATTATAACCTTTTCATAGACACCTCACACGACAACCTTTGTACAATATTTGTT